TTCATCAAACGGTGAAACAGAGTAGGAAAATGACCTGGGAGTTGAGGCACCGTCTGATAACCATCTGCTAGTGTAGTACGTGGCTTGAGGTACCACTTGAAAGCTAAATGAGACTGCCATCAGTGGGTTGATTTATTGCTCCCATTTAGGGCAGATCATTATCCCGGAAAGCAGACCACTCAGTCACGTCGCATCATTGGGCTAGATGGAAGGATGATACAGCTGGAAGTATGGGACCAGCTTCTCCTAAAAGAGAACCGAGACCACAGGAAAAACTATGCTTGTATTGGTCACGCCACAAGTATCATCGAGTGAGGCGATAACAATTGGTGATGCGAATAGACCATAAAGCTTTCAGTGGGATATGATCAGATTGGTCACTACCACGGCTCTTCCTTGCATCAGAGTTCGACTGCAGCTTCATGACACTTGACCTTCAATCTGATAAGGCTGGAACCATTGCCATGATAGGATCGGAAGGGTGTTCTGATGCTGAGAATGTTGCTTCAAGTCCAGACTAGTCACTTAACCTTGTCCCATCTGGAAGTGTCACTTATAAGCATGCCATGACCTTATTTCCGAGTCACCATGAGAACCTGTGAATACAAATTATATATAAAAAAAAAAGTACGCTCTTCTCTGAGATCTAATTGATAGTTGAGATTCAGATGAGACATCAAGTTGAAAGTGACAAAAAGAGCATCGACATCATCGCCAGCGGCAGCGGCGAAACTCCGCCGGCGACTGGTCCGGGCGGTGTAGAAGACAACTTCCTTTCGGCTTCACTTTACGCTCATCTCAGCCTCCTCGCCGCCCCTCTTCTTCTTTGTTTCATTGCCATCGAGCTTTGATAAAGCTACTTTGATTTCTCCTCATTTTTTAATTTTGCATAACATCCAATACCCGCATCTTCCGACTGAGTCTCCTCCCTCAATGGAGGTAGCCAGCGCGCAACAGCCTTCTCTTCAACTAGACGCCTCCAACGCTGCCCCAGTCGCTGACACAATGGACGCCTCCATGGATATTGACATGGACATTGACCTTGGTCCCCTTCCGGAAGCAGAGGCAATTGAGACTGTGAGTATTATTCTTGCCTAATCGTATCTTAGATTAATAGTTGTTCACTTCTAACATCTTCGTCGAACTGTCCAGGAACAAACCCTCGTGGCAACGACAGCTGCTCAAGATGAATACGTCGACCCTCTGAATGAGGAGGCACAATACGAAAAGGTTCATATACGTGGTGTAGACGAATTGACAACGGATAACATCAAACAATTTGCTGTCGAACACTTCACCCTGGAGGAGCCAAGTCGCGTTGAATGGATTGATGACACATCGGCAAACCTCCTATACTCTTCGCCGGAGGTTGGTCTCCAAGCTCTGTCAGCCTTTACGCAGGTTAGCGAGGAGGAGGATGCATCTGCGTTGCCTGCTCTACGGTTACGATCCGCGAAGCTTCTCTCTACGCACCCCGACTCTGTCCTCCAGGTTCGGTCAGCTGTCAAGGCAGATCGCAAAAAGCCCCGCGCGCACGAAGCCAGTCGGTTCTACCTCATGCACCCTGAACATGATCCTCGGGAACGCTTGCGACGAGAATTCGCCGCCGACAGACGACGCTCGGGAGGTGGAGATGCCAGTGACGGGGATTACAGGCGAAGACGGTTTGATGGTCGAGAACTGCAACGCCGGAGAGACCGCGATGCAGACGAGAGCTTCAGTGCCAATATGTACGATGACACGCCAGCAAGCCGCGATCGCTCGTCGGACCGCAGTCGCGAAAGGCGGGGAAGGCGAGGGGGACGCGACCTATTTCCACAGGAAGAAGGACGATTGTCTGGTCGCCTTCGCAACCGTAGCGCATCACCCGGTCGGGATACATTGATGGAAGGCGGATATGCTGAGGATGATCGGCAGGATCGCAGACGGTTCCGCGACCGGTCGCCGCAGCTCGGTCGCCGCAATGAAGGCAAGGAGCTTTTCCCGTCTTCAAGTGCAAAAGCTAGCGATGCGAAAGCGCGAGAGCTCTTTCCAAACAAAACTGCAAAAGAACTCTTCCCTCAGAAGGTTAGCAACCATCGCCGGTCAGACGCAATCGATGCTGCGGACGAGACCGCAGATCTATTCTCGCGAAGAATTTCAGTACCTCTTGTGGATGGAAGTCAGGACCAACAACCTGCGCGCCGTAAGCGGGATATCGAGCTTTTCCCCGAGGCGACCGAGACAAGCGGTCTTAACATCCGCGGGGCAGCAAGGCAGGATCAGGGGATGTCGATTCGCGGTGCGGCAAATGGCATATCAATCAAAGGACGGGGATCGTCTGTACGTGAACTGTTCCCTTCGAAGTACGGTTCGAACGCCGGCAAGGAACTGTTCTCCGATAAGATTGAGGGGCGAGGAGGGCCACGACGCAGGGCGGAGGACATGTTTAGCTGAGGCCTAGAACTTAGTTTTGGGTTAGACCTTTGGCGAGCAACATGTTAAGTCGCTATGCGCATGTTTGCCTGACTGGTTTCTCTTTGGTTGTCATTCTGCTTTTGCTGGGATGGTGGTGTGAAAAGATACCAATATTTCTTTCTATATATATTTTTAAACTTTTGTACTTCAGCCTATGAATGAGAACATCTTAACTCTCTGCTAAATGCAGTATCCTCATGAAATGTAGTGCTCAGGCGGCTTGTTTGTGCAGGCCACTTTCAATTTGGTGTCAAACACAGAGATCTGGTCCGAGTGGAGCCATGAAGCTACTAGCCCGATATATATCTTTCCCCCAATTAAGTAGTATCGCTCGACAAACTACTTACATTCCGTCGCTCAATCCCAGCCCAACCTCCAAGATGCCACCCCCATCGCAAAACATCCCACTAGCCAGCACCCTCGTGGCCCGTTTCTTACGGACCAACAACTACACGCAGACTCTAAAAGCTTTCCTGCAAGAAGCGGGGCTCCCGTCCGATGCGGGAGAACAGCGCGGCAAAGACAATACGAGCAACTGGACCATTGAGAACGTACTCGAAGAGAAGAAAGCCTTCGACCAAAGCAAGAACTTTGAGCGATACGGTGACAATGACAAGGACAAAGATGTCTGGAGCGTTCCAGGTATGTATAACTCCCTCCAATGCCCCCGCTCCAAACTAGAAACTCACCTGCCATCACAGCACCAAGCAAGCCCAACATCATCCAAACGCCAACCAGTTCAAACCTACTGGCATGCTCCGTAGAGCAATGGCAAAGGCCAGATGCACAAGCAGAGCCATATCTGATCGCCACCGGCGCAGACAAGCACCTCCATCTCTTCCAAACATCTCCTGGCCATGACCTCGTCCAATCATTCACGGGCACATCAGAAGCCCCGATTCTATCGTACATCCCAATCCAAGATGGGAAATACGTCCTCATGACCAATATGTCCGGCCAAATTCTTCTGCAAAAAGGCGCAGAAATCATCGACCGCCGCAAAGACCACGCCAAATACGCCGTCAAAGTCATCGCCTACGAGCAGAAGGAGGACAACGACAACAACAACGACGACGGAGCAGACACCACTTCCACCTCTACGACAATCTGGATCGCAACCGCAGGCTGGGACTCCAAGATCTTCCTCTACCGCATGCAAATCAACAACGAAGCCTCTACGCAAATCGGTGACCCCATCGCCTCCATCCCACTACTCTCCAATCCCGAATCCATCCTCTTCACCACCCACATCGACAACCCCCAGGATCTAATCCTCCTCGTCTCCCGCCGCGACTCAAGCAATCTTTACTACTACCATGTCAAACCATCGGCAGACTCAACCACCGGATACGAATGCCCCTTAATCGGTAAACAGAACCTCGCCCCGCACTCCAACGCCTGGGTCGCCTTCTCCCCCTCCTGTCTGGCCCTCAGCCCACATGACCCGGGTCTCATCGCCATCGCAACGTCGACTCTTCCGCATATGAAGGTCATGATTGTGCGGTTACTGTTTCCCTCAGCAGAGAGTTTGGAGACCGGCTCGGCGGAGCAGGAACAGGAGCCAGCAACGCAGGCGGCGCAGGCGTTCGCTGCCCTGTCGCTGCAGAATCGCGAGGACGCGGCGATTTTGATCCAGGCGAATACGTTTGCGCCACAGACGGCGTACTCGACGCCGCAGGTCGTGTGGAGGCCGGATGGCTCCGGGGTGTGGGTTAATGGGGATGATGGGGTTGTGAGAGGGGTGGAGGTGAAGACGGGGAGGGTGGTGACGTTGTTGAAGGATGGGCATGAGGTTGGGTGTAAGATTAGGACGCTTTGGGCGGGGTGGGTTGATAGGGGTGAGAGGGAGGAGTGGTTGGTTAGTGGGGGGTTTGATAAGAGGTTGGTTGTTTGGAAGGTTGAGTGGGTTATATAGTTTGAGAAAATAAGCTCGAGTTTTATTATGAGGTGTATTTGATAAAACAAGAAATCATAGTATAATTCACTATTCACTATCAAACCCTACAAGGCGCCTACATGGTATGGTGGTAGTATGTAGCCCTCCGTCCATGCACCCTCTCGCCATGGTAGAGCAAAGAGCAAAGGGTGTTTGGTAATTGGAGGGCATGGGATCTTCTCTCGGCACGTAAAATAAATCCTTCAGCAAGCGCGCATGGGAAAATAAGCACGAAGCTGTACACACATATGCCTGTTTCTTCATCATCAACACCAACTTCAACATCATCAACCAACCATACTACGGTATGAGAACCGCAACGTCAGTCAGAAAAAGCAAATGAACCACCGGCCACGGGGGAAAAATGAAGCCCAAGAAAAAAGCAACACTAGAGAACCGTATCCATTTGCTTTATGTGACAAACCCGGTTTCTTGCGGGGTAATATACCCTTCAGCCCAATGTAGAATCTTCTCTCGACCGGTGCTTCGCTTTGCTTTTTTGTCGTCGTTTGTCGGTCGCATGTAGGAAACACAGGAAATGATATAAGAGCAAATCAACCAACTCAAATCGCTTCCATTTCTTTTAAAACGTTTCTATATTAGTTGGAAGTAATTTATGCGATCTCGCGCTTGCCCTCCTTGCGCTCCTTCTGTTCGGAGTGTTAGTGTCGATTCTTCATTTCGGCTTCGCCCAACAGAAGAGACACTTCTTGTTGGATCGATCTTAGAGAGAAACGTACCAGAGCCTTGGCGGTTCCGTGAAGGGCGTGTCTGTGGTTGCGGCGGAACTTGGGGTCGACACCCTTGAGGGAGGGGTAACGGTGGGTCTTGGGCTTCTTGATACTGTTGAGTTGGAAAAAGAAGGCGATGGTCAGTGTTTCGATCTCTCTCAAGCGGTTTCGTTGTAGTTGTTGTGTGTTGATTCCCGAGGACGAATATGTCGAATGTTGGATATTGGTCGATATCCTCCATCATCAGGGCCAGAGTATCTATCCTCTTCTTCCTTCTCCCGTTCGCTGAACCTCAATTTGTCGAAGATACCGTCCGCTATCCAACATCGTGATATTCGTCCTCGGGCGATTCGTGTATGGGACAGATAAAAAAGGTAGGAGGAAAATCGGCTTATAATACGCACCCGTTACGGTGAGCCTTCTGGCTGTTGTGGTGCTGAGACGCGTTCTTGGACTCTGTAGAGATTCATGTCAGCTATACATCATTCTTCCATGTTAAGATGGTCGATAATCGCATTCTTCGTCCGAGAGGGACGGGAAATGCAAAAATAACGGGGGTTTGAATATTTTGGAGCAAAAGGGGTGTCACGTACTCGCCATCTTGTCGGATTTGTCGCAACTAACAGACGGTTGACGAGGAGTTGGCGGGTGAGGTTATCCTGAACGGAGCGGAAGGCCAGAGTCCCCAAGGCAGGTTCGGCTAGGGCTGGTTTTCTGTGGGATTTCGCTTACCGAGCACGGCTAGCGTCCTGCCCGTCTTGGTGTCTCTTCACTACTGTAGGCCTACTTCTCTAGCTACTGCTTGGGCGGGGGGTTGTCCTGGCTTAGGGTCTAGATTTGATTGTATTTGGGATTGTCGATTGCTAACTACATGAATTTGCTTACGATGCTTGGTTCTGCTTGCTACTTGAATACTTTCGTGAAGATGGTGGCGCATCGTCAAATGTTGGGAATGGCATTGATACCTGAGGCACAAAACGATCCCGTGATTGATGACTAACAACATGGCCGACTGTTTGGTCAATGCTGGGGAAATACTGCGTAGTTTTCATGATCATGAAGCACGCATTGCCCGGAGCTGTAGATGCCGAACATAGAAACAATGTGGTTGAATAACCAGGCAATCATAAACCCTGTCCAATTGATGTCGAATCGAGATTAATAGTGTGGATGGATATGGGATCCATAGTTACGATGACGGGAATGTTGACAGCCGGATATCACGTGATATTAACATGGGCCCCAGTGATGGATACATGCGGACTTGGTTGAATGACCTTCGATATGACAGTGGTGATGTTGATATTGGATGTCTTATCTCCTAGCCTCTTACGCGCCTAGATTGCTTCGACCATCCCAGTTTGTAGGATTGTAGCATATGCTTGTAAAGAATCATGTTAACAACTACCACGTTCAGATGGTAGTTTCACGGCCGAGATGCAGACAGATAAAAGCTAAACACCCTCAGCAGAGAGCGATCTCCGCACACTCAAAGCCAATAACCGGAGAACAAGAAGGAGTCCAGCGTTGTGCAGGTCAACGCAGCAACCGAGTACGGCGGTTCTTCTGTTGGCGCGTGGCCCACCACGTGACCGCCCGAGCCGCTAGGGAACAACCGGCATCCGACTTCGACCTTTGCAACTCCCAACTCAGGTTCAAGAGGGATACTATCACCACCCACCCCCTTCGTCCATTGCAAGATGAGCTCTCTCCGCTTCGCTCGCTCTGCCTTCAGGGCTCGTCCCTCCGCTTTCCGCGTTCCTCTCCAGCGCAGAGGTTACGCCGAGGCTGTGTCGGACAAGATCAAGCTTTCCCTGACCCTTCCTCACCAGGTACGCCTCCGATTCCGTTGAGCGCCTCTGTGCACCTGCCTATGTGTTTGATACTGACAATTTATTCTTTCAACAGTCCATCTTCAAGTCGACCGGCGTGTATGTAACCTCGCAATCCGGATAGGTCGAAAGCATTGCACGACCACCTTGCACCTTAGACCGCCCCATACTTACGAACCTTTCCCATATAGTGTCCAGGTCAACATCCCCGCCGAGTCCGGAGAGATGGGTGTTCTCGCCAACCACGTCCCCTCCATTGAGCAGCTCAAGCCCGGTCTCGTTGAGATCGTCGAGGAGGGTGGTGCCAGCAAGAAGTTCTTCCGTACGTCCGACCAACCGTGTTGATATTTGTGCCGCGGGCCGAGAGTCTCCAAATCAGCCGCTACACATCGTGTCTAGGACAAGACTGACATGACTGCTCATGAAATTAGTGTCTGGTGGTTTCGCCGTTGTCCAGCCCGACTCCCAGCTGAGCATCAACGCCGTCGAGGGTTTCCCTCTCGAGGAATTCAGCATTGACGTAGGTTCTAACCGATTCGTGCTTTATCCTCTGCGCAGTGCTAATCCGTCACCCTCAACACAGAACGTCCGTTCCCAGATCGCCGAGGCCCAGAAGATTGCCAACGGAAGCGGCAGCGAGCAGGATATTGCTGAGGCTAAGATTGAGCTTGAGGTAAGACAGACACTACCAAACACGACCCGAACATTCTGACTGACAACCAAAAACAGGTGCTGGAGAGCCTGCAGGCCGTCCTCAAATAGATACCTGATGTACATATCCACTCGCGACTTCAACTTTGAACCTGTAGAATTATAGCAATTCTCATGAAACATTATTTGCATGGTTTTCGGGGCAGAGGCCCATAAATAGCTAATATTGAAAATTAGTCTGGCTGATAAACTGGTTGCTGATGCCTTTCTCGGCTACACGCCTGCGTGGGTTGCTCTTTCCGACTTAGTCGAGGAGACCTTTGCTTTCGCCTTCCTTTCCTTCCTCTTCTACTCCTCTTTGTCTTGCCAACACCTAACTTCGGCTTCATTTGGTTTCTTTGGCTTCCTAACTGACGCTGAAAAAACAGACGACTGACATCTAGACAGGCTATGATGCCGCCTGCGTTCACCAAGCCAGTTACCATCATGCAGGAGCCCAAGGCCAATGATCCGGAAAATCCCTTCTGTCAGGCCTCGGACAAATCCCAGAGCTTTTCGAGTCGACTACAGTATAAACACCCAGAGAATTGTCCTGCCCGCCCAACCATGGCCCGCAGCGATTCTCATGATACTGACGCTTTCCACATATTTCCAATGGAGGTGGATAAAGAACACCCGACAAACCCGTCAACCTCAGCATGCAGGATGTTGGAAACTTTCTCTGATAAGGACACTGCCAACCCCCAAGGAGTACCCGACATGTTTAATGATGCATTTGTTTTTGAAAAATGGTATGAAAGCACAATCGAACCTTGCGGTATATCAGACCGAGATACTCCGTCCCCGGCGAGATCGGGAAACACCACCCTCGCTATATTGAATGAGAAAAGCTTATCCGAACGCAATAGTCGCGGTCCTGTGGAGGCTAAACCAGCGTGGAAACCGCCAAGACCTCCTAAACCGCGATTCTTAGCACACCTTGACATTGCCGGCTCCGAGACATACGAGAATGCAACTCCGAGTCCGATGCCTGCCTTGAAACACGGTCCCGTGGATCACAAATGGCTAGCACCTCCTAGAGCTCAGCTGTCCAATCCCCAGGGCTGTTCGAGGTCTCGCATTCGATTGGCCAACCGATCAATATTGCTAGAAGGTATGGACAATGATATCGGCAAGCGATACAGAGGACCCTGGAGTGACCTCAAGCTCGGCCCATCCCGATTCCTGTCCCGGCCTGTCAAACGTGGCACAAAGCCTTACCTCGTCAAGAACAATCTGAGCCAGCCATTCCCCGCCCCCTTGCCTTCAATTGATGGCTTGCCATTGCGCCAGGTTTTAAGAACTGCTAAGTCGAAGTCTGCCAAGACATGCGTCCGAAACCCCAGTACCGCCATGGTAAGCCCCCAAGAGGTACCAGAGCCAAACCTGAAGCGCATAGGGAACTGGCTTGGGAAGCCACTTAGCTGGATTTCTCACCTGTTACAGCCAAAGGAACGAGGTGTTATCAGTATAACCTTGGTTGGACAGCAACCACTTGAGCACCCACGTTCCGGATTTGCATCATACGAGTTCATTGTGAGCTTCGTTTGGCCATGGCCAAACCCAAGCGCGTCGGAGTCTATTGAAACACACCAAGGGCAAGAGCTCAACCTACCTGTTTCTTCATATGATTCCACCCGTCTCTTTCGGGCCGATATTACAATGCCGTATCTCGCTATGCGGCTGATCTTGGGCTTATGTAACGTCTTGCGGAGCCTGACACACAGACAAGTTGTGGCTAGCTTTGTGCACCTCTTTGTGAGATGCATCGGACTTCCAGTACTGTATGTACTAGAGAGGTTCAGCGTCAACTTCTCCATTCACCAAAGGGAGTCTGATACGACCCAGAGCGCAAGAGACCAACATGCGGCTCTTTAATCAATGGCTTGAATGATGTCTTCCTATGTATGATTGAGGACAAGGCGGCGCTCGGTAGTATGCTACTGATGGTACTCTTCAGGCGTGAAAGACATCAATTTTTTATTTTCATTAAAGAACAAGAATGCAGCACAATATGAACGATATGGCGACCATTATATGCAGGAATCGGAGAGACGAATGAAAAACCACAGCTCAAGGAGCACCGACTCCTACTGCTTATGAGCCTAGCACTGTGCATTTCCTCATAGCAGTATCTTATCATAAACCAATAGCCAAACAAAACCAACAATTCATATCCATTCCCTTGCTCATTGCAACCGTTCTGTATGGCTGCTTTCATAGCGTCATTACCGGACATCACCAGACAAGAAGCTCTTTCCGAGCACAAATATCTTCAACAAGCACGAAGCGTAGTTTCCAGAAGAACCAACACCCGAGACAGCGAGTCATTGGCACTTGTACATCATAACGTATTTCAAGATTGACATGAAGGGGGTAAAATCAAAAGAAACAGATTCATGGGACGCAATTAAACACCAAAGAGCAAAGGGGCATGTAATCATCAAGGTTGCTATACAGGGGAAGAAGGAGAAAAAGAAGAGACGTCAAGGACATGGCAGGAGATACCTTCTCATCAAGTAAATTCCACACCATGCTGCTGTCTTTCTTGACGAGCACGCGCTCTCTCCGCGCGTCTTCGTCGACGATTGCTTGCGTAGTCCCCGCTCGCTTCCGTCCCAGTAAACGTACCCGGAGACGCGATACTCCCTGTCCCATAAGGATGACTAGATGGCACAGGGGGCGGCGGGGGAGGCGGCATATAGCCCCCATTCCCGTTCTGAGGCGGTGGTGCATAATAAGCTGACGTCGCAGGAGGAGGCATACTTGATGATGGAGTGGCGGAAGTTGCTGGGAAAGCTGAGGAAGCTGCCGCCGCCGCAGCAGCCTGCTCTCGTTGCATCTGCTCTTGTTGCTGGCGTTCTAGCTCCTCGACCCGGCGCCAGCGGTCGTGCGAACCCCCCTCGTTCCCGGATAATGAGCTTGCACTGCCGGCGCGACGACGGGAGTTCCTTCGCTCTCTTCGTCTTGCTTCGCGACTGGCGGCGGCTTCTTCGTCTGTTAGTCTTCGGAGAGTAACGTGGCGTCCGTCGTTGTGCATCTTCACTTTGACGGAAACGGGGGGAGATGCGATGGGATCACGGTGGCGGCTGCTACTCCTGGGTCGGCTGCTGCTTCGGTGACGGCTGGCGCTGCGACGGCGATGTGCCGATGATGCAGCACCGAGGGCTGTTCCGGCTGCTACCCCTGAGGCGAGCTCTGTGGGGCCGTGTGTAGATGCTGCTGGTCCTGGGTATTCTGAGGCTGCTGGTGGGGGAATGGGTGGTCCTGGTGCCGGTGGTATGTCTGAGCGTGCTCCGTCTACTGCTCCGGATGCCATTGGGGGTCCTGCTGCTGAGACGATGGACTCGCCGTGCGGCGGATCGCGGGGTGGCCGGGAGAAGTCTGATGAAAGGTCTGTAGCTGTGAATGATGCCGGCCTGTCGCGTCTTGGGTAATAGCCCTCTCCGGGGTAGCGTCGCTTGCTGTTTGCCCGGGCTAGCCGCTCGTCTTCCATCTCCCGACGGCGCATATCTTCCACACGACGTTGTTCTGCATCACCTTTGCGGCGTGAGAAGAAACCCTTGATCGCTGCTAACGCTCCTGCTCCGAGCAGAGCGTCTCGGAGTCCGTGAGATGGCCTGCGTTGGGGAGCTTCAGAAAGATAGGTGCTGTTGTAAAGGTACGACGAGCCAGGGCTTTGGGGACGGCTAAGAGGTCGACTTGGTGGTCTGCTCGGGGGCCTGCTGGGAGGTCTACTGGGAGGCCTGCTCGGCGGACGGTTGAGAGGGGTATGCGCTGTTGGCTCCGGTCGTCGCCCATCTTCCAGCCTGCTCAAGCTTTCTTCAGTCATGCTGTCACTCCGAGTATGGGCTCTGCTGTATCGACCGGACTCCGTGTCGTTGTCTCGTTCGCGTCTTCTGTCGAAGAATTTCTTTGCGAGCCAGGCACCACCACCAAGTGCACCTAGTTTTAGAAGTAAGTTCCCTTTGCCACCACGCCGTGCGCCTTCGTCGGAAAGCTTTTCGTCTGAGAAGCTGGTATGCGATTCGTCGTAATCGTGTGGTCTGCCTCTGGAACGACGTCTGAAGAGCGAAGCCAGACCAGCTCCGGTCGCTCCTGCGGCGGCCATGGGCCCGAGGTTACTATGGCCATGGTCATCGGCAGCTGAGGGCCCTGAGACATAGCTGAGCCGACTTTCGTATCCGCCGCCCTCCATGTGATACCCTTCTGTGTCGTATAAATATGACAGCACAAAGAACACTGCGAGGAGGATGAAGGCGACAATCGCGTAGAGGATAAAGAGCACCTTAGGCGAGCCATAAAGGGTGAGACCCAGCGGTATTTGAACAAGACCAAGGATTGCGAGGGCGCGTCCAATCCATCGATGAATCTGGCATGAGTTAGCTTTTGGGCAGGAATCCAAACGGTCACACAACATACAACAAGCTTCAAGGGAACATGGTAACTTCTCCTGTTCCTCTCAATCTTATGAACAAGCCAACCCCACAGAATTTGAAAGATCACCAGGACGTATATTGCGAGCCCGATACCGTGATGCGGGTTTGTCAGGCTTCTCTTTGGACCAACAGCGAACCAACCGAACACAAACACAACGGTGCTCAGCAGTAATGTCAGGACTTGGCACCAGACATGCAGCTTGAAAGCCCAGAAAGGATTCCATCGAGAGTAGTATCGGATGATCAAAACAGAGATTGGGACGAGGAAAAGGAAGACGATTGTAGCGATGATACCGTGAACGGCTATGAGGGTATGGTATTCGGGCATATCTTTGAATCGGTTTCCCATTCCTGACATATGTAAGCGATTTTGCGCGACATAGAACAAAAAATGTACTTACCGTTGTATCGCATTGTGTCGAAGTTGATACCCATCAGATTAGGGAGGAGGAATGTGTCGCGCTCCGAGTCCCATGTTCCATCGCCGACATGCAGTGTATTCGAAGCGTAAGTACTGCTCCCCGCAGCGGAGAGGCCAGAGTCGACCGCCATGGTTACTGAAGACCTTGAGCTCTTATAGTTTCCGATCGACGTGAATTCCTCCCGATCTCATTGACACTGGAATGTTCGAACTACCGACGGAGATCTAGCGAGATCCCCCACTCCGAAGAATGCACCATGCGCTGATGGGAAAGGTCGAATGAAATCGATAGCAGTGGCGTCAACTTGAGTTCCCGGGGAATTCGATCGCGGAGGCTCAAACGCGACCGAGCCCAGCGTTGAAATGGTTGTTTATCTTTTGAGAAACAAGAGGCTAGCGGTGAGTGATAGGTATAGATGGATGGTGGGGGAGGGCTAGGTAGTAGATGTGACGAGGATAAGAGAAGCGTGGCAGGACACCCGCCTGTATAGCCAACGATTGAAGACCACTTAGATGAAAAGAAAAGAAAGAACAGCACTGAAGCAGATGAACGGATCGTGGGACAGGGAAGCGGATAACCGCCGAACGATCGAGATGCAGGCTGGAATGCCGCTGAGGCTGGGGCAAGCAAGCCGCTTCATCGCAACAACTGTTTTCTATTTGCGGTTTAGCCCGTCAGCCTATATCCCGGACAACCACCCGCTGACTCAGCCTTCTGCCGCGAGCGACCGCCTGCGCATGTGAGTATGATTATCATCGACACCAATTGAACGATCCCTCGCAGATTATCTAGTTATTGCATCTCGATGATCATAGCGTTGATTAATAGACGTGCCGATCCCGGTGAAAGCCGGGGCATAGCTGGACTAGAAGCCGATGACTTAGTCTCACAAGAAATGGTTGCTATTCAAATAGCAGGGTTAGTGTCTTGCTCAAGGTTTGTTGGATTTCCACTCCACCGACCCTAGTTACTTGGCCGATAGTAGTGAGGCCCGTTGGTCTTTCTGTAGTAGTATAGTGGCATCCATTGTGAACCCTGCGGGCCCAGGTTAATTAATCATCCCAGGAACGATCCACCAGTTTTGCAAGGAACCCAATTCCAGAGATCCAGCCAACAAAGTTGGGAAAGCGGTCAGGCCAGGTGACCGCAATCGCGTGCTTTCCGTATCTTATCAGCTGCTCTCTCCGCCAGCAGATCCACTCCATCCTCCCTTCTATCGAGGCATATAGATAGCCTCTCCATCTCGCTGCAGTGCCCCTCCTACTCCCTCCTATACGAGAAAGCAGCAGCAGAGCTACAAGGAGGTAACTATGGCAACTCAGCTAGAAATCTTCGTGAGAGCGCTTTCTCGGTACGTCTCCCTCCTGATCTTTCCGCCTTAATCTCATTTGTACCATGTACTAACACCATGGCAACGCAGCCTACTTGGCTGGATATAGTACGTCTTCAAACCCGCGAGTACTAGGGAGGATACCCATCACGACAGACGTGAGACATCGGGGGATTGTGCATACTAATCAACGTTCTTCAGCACGTTCTGTTGGTCTGCGTCCTTCTATCCCCAGCCGATCAACAACTTCCGGCGACGTTCGACAACGGGGCTGGCAATCGACTTTCCCACCATCAACGTGCTAGGCTTCGTGTGCTATACCATATATACGTCCGCTTTTCTTTACTCTCCCGTGATTCGTCATCAGTATGCGGCTCGTCATCCACATGCTAAGGACCCGACCGTGCGCTTCAACGACTTTGCCTTTGCTCTACATGCCGTCGTTCTTAGCTTTATCACCTATACACAGTTCTGGCCGTTTATCTGGGGATTCAAGGTCTCTCGCCATCAGAAAGTGAGCAAGCCGGTAGCAGGCCTTTTCTGGGGCTCTATAGTCGGCGTCACAATCGTCATTTTCATCGTTCTCGGCCAGAGCCCAAATAACGGCTTTGATCCATACTCCTGGGCGTGGATCGATGTCGTAAGTAGTCCAAAGATCTGCAAATGGCTAATCCGCATGTGTTCTGACCCCTGGCTCTTGTGTCAATTTAGATATATGCCCTTTCTTACGTGAAATTGGTCATCACCATCGTGAAGTACGTACCGCAAGCGTGGGTCAACTATAAGCGTAAATCCACATACGGCTGGAGTATTGGACAGATCTTATTTGATCTGTCTGGAGGTGTCTTATCCCTTGCCCAGTTGCTGCTGGATTCTAGCTTCCAAGATGATTGGAGTGGAGTCACTGGAAACCCCATCAAATTTCTCTTGTCGAACGTTACCATCTTTTTCGATCTGATCTTTGTGGTGCAGCACTATATTCTCTACAGAGATGCAGAGGACGATAGTGGTAAGACCCAGAACCCGAGTGACCGGACTCCTTTGTTATCTGAGTCCAACGGCCTGCCCGGGCGCAGTTAGTGTTTAGACTTCCGTCTCTCGTGGTGCTTTAGATGTCGAAACTTTGGAACACTTCGGCGGCCCCGACCCGTCGGCGGTTCCGGTTTCTTGGATGAATTGATTATAAGAACGTTTTCTTTTTGGAGGATCTTTGTCATGTGAAGAGCATCGAACTGGTTGACATAATATTTTTCGCTTTAAGATTTTTGGTCGGATGATGACTGAGGCTGAGAGTTTGTGACATGTATGACCTCATAGACCTCTCCGCCAACACAGCCGACGGAGCAACCGTCTGGAAAGATGGCTGTAACTCGTATACAGCGTCTACGGCCTGGATTATCACACGAAGCTGAAAATAGTCATGTGTGTTGGTTGGGGAGGAATGATAGACGGCCCCCTCAAAACCGTGACAATGTATTTTTGGAACAATGTCTTTGGCTCTCTCCGCGAAAGTGTATCTACACATCCACACCGCGATGTAACATGGCAGTGACACGCGATCTAACCCGGCCTAGGCCAGATCTGCAAGCCCGATGGAGGCCAGTCTAAGATGATCAAAGACTACTGGACCTGGCGACACCGCTCTTTGGCAGCCGGTCCATGCTGACAGCGACCCTCTTTCCGGGCCTTCCTGCGTGCAATCCTCCAGTCCCGGGGGCCCGTCACCTAGAAATACTGGCAACCAAGGCCCGACGGCAGGGATCGTGGGCTCAAGGCTTAAGTCCATCTGGCGGTAAGCCAAAATGATCTGCATTCTCAGCCATGGTTATAGCGTCGAAATGCACGCCCATTTGGGAGTAAGCGTGGGGGCCTGACCTTCCCGTCCAAGCAATCATCGCGAATGGTTGACGTCGTCCAACCCTCAACGGCGAGGGCCCTTGCCCAGCGATATGACTCGTACGACGATTATTCTCTTAGTTTGATGCCTTTTTTTTGCCTTGCCTCCTACCCTGTTGGGCCATCCTGGGATCGGATCACCTGGAACTTTGTTCAGAGGTTGTCGCTCGGCGCTGAGGCTCAGACGGCATTTAGACTTTCCATCCAGGTTCCCCATGAACCAGAGGATTCCGCATGCATATGTACGATGCAGTCGCCGGAACAAGTACACGACAGAACCAATCATCACGCAGCTTCGTCCGTCCATACGCTGGTCCGCCGACTCCCCGAACGGACGCGCCCTATCAGCGCCGAACAAAAGGTCCTGCAACTACTGGATTGGGGCTCAAACGTCATTCTCATGTCCAGAACCGTCTGTATTACCCATCACCACTTCTCTGGTGCCTTATGGAAATATCCTGTGACGCTCTTTACATCAGCCCTATCAAAGAGTTCGGACTTAAGCGGCAATGGAACACTTGCTACTTCTACATAAGCAGCAGGAGTCCTGTTTTGGCGTGGTAAACCGGGAAAAGCCAAGAGAAAAAGAAAACGCACACCCAAAAATCAGAGCACTAATATTGATCTGCTTGGGCATTGTGCCTCAGATTGGATGGATCGTCTTTGAGCAAATGTGTCATCCGAATAGGGTTGGTTCTAATCTTTCAGCCGCAGTGCATGACAATTCATTAGTTCTGCATGCCTATTCGAGTTACCAATCACCTCGCAGCAGCCGAATAAACATTCCCCTTGGCTTCTGGAGAGTTTAGACACGGGAATCCCGAGCTGCATTTCCAGGGCAAACGTGGGAGCCACCAGCGATGAGGGCCAGTACCAAAGTCAATGGTACAGTGACATCGACGCCCTAAATCCGATTATCGAGCATCTGTAAAGGGATTCGCTCAGCTACCCGTTGACCGTCAGCCCTGGGGGATGTGCATAGCCACATCTGACATTCGAGACACTCCTGAAGATAAGAATGTTGGAGAACCACGGCTTCTACTAGCTTTAAATATCCAGAATGCATCCAAGCCCGCCAATCTATGACAAACCATCCAAAGAAATAGGCTTCATCCCACCGAAACACCCCAGGTCGACTCATTACATGAACTACAAGTACCGCCGAAGGTACGTCCATGGACAAAGATACATTGGTGAGACCCATGCTCAACGGACTAGATTCCCTCCATACTGACTACTCTCAGAACAAGCGCACCCGAGTGTCTAGGGCACTTTTGACCAGTTCCGAACCATCCGCAATGACCTCAAGGACTACTATTAACAGAGCCATGCTGATGGTGCCCGGCGGCTCCTCAACCCACAATACGATGTCGTCAGAGGTGCAGCCATATCCTTTTCCTGCTATAGCCTTTCAACAGGCCCCCCTGTCAGATGCCCGCAGCATGTCTGGGTCAGTCCCCTACGCCTTTGACCAAACACAGCCCCTCCATCAAAGGAAGCCAGACGTTGGCACCCACTACTTTCAGGATCAAGAGTCCTACCCACCCTTATTCTCACACCAGACCATACCACCGCAGTCATTCAGACCCGAAATTGAATCCTTTCCCCCAGCCATACCAACCACAGACGGGGCATACTTTCCTATTGATCAAGAAGAATGGCTCGCGATAGCAGTATCACAATCATCTCCTAACCCCACAAATACCGACTATTACCTCCCAGAGTCAGCTCCGTCCTCATTCTCTCAATCACGGCTAACCCCCGTAACCACCGCATCTTTATCTTCCGCTACTACCGCAGACCTTGACTTCGACCTTGATCTCGACCTCGATCTAGACGATCTCCAACTTCAATCACTCTCCGACACCTCCTCCGCCCGCAGCCAGACGCGAGATCTGAACAACTATGGCATCCAAAATCCCGACGGAACCTGGCGTTGTGCATACCCCGGCTGCTCCTCACACGCCGTCTTCCGTCGGGGCTGTGATCTTCGGAAACACTATAATCGTCACCGCAAGCATCTCTTTTGCCGGTACGAAGGGTGCCCACAGGCTGTGCGGGGCGGGTTCTCCAGCAAGAAAGACCGAGACCGGCATGAGGCCAAACACAACCCAGAGATACCTTGTGAGTGGGACGGGTGTCAGCGGGTATTTAGTAGGGTAGACAACATGAAGGACCATGTGAGGAGGATTCATAAGAGGAGAGAGACTTGATGATTTCTCTTTCCCTCACCCCTTTGATCCTCCCTCCCTCTTCCTTTCTTTCTTTCTTACTCCTGCCCCCTCCTCTTCTTGAAAATAGTTTTTTCTTCTATCACCTTTCTACTGAACAAATCAAACGGGATATCCACAGTTTCGGGATTGGGTGGAGATAAATGGGACCAACGGCGCGATTTACTGGCTTTTCCTGGAAGGGGTTATTGGTTTTATTTCATTTTTTTTATTCCATCTGAGATTAAAAATGAGGGGAAATTGCACCGCCAGCACTGCAGGACAGTGACAGTGACACTCCACCTTGACCACTACTTACTACCTTCCCAACTACTAAATTGACTCACCATTCTACCTTTTACTGTACTTATACGTGTCTTCTTTTAAGTCGTTCTGCTTATCAAGTACCTTTTGCGTATCTTTCTCAGCCTTGTCAATTAATCCTTTCTGACGTGGTGTGACCGTGACTTCTTATCATCGCTGAGCCGCATACTTTACTAGCTAGCTGGCTAGACAACACAACCTACTACAGCAACTCACGCTCAATATCTCATTTGGTCTGAATCTCGTTATTCCTTCTTATTCGCTAAAAATATATTTTCTTCCCAGTTCATCGGATCTCAATTCATATCATTGTAGCCAGCTAGCCGCTCAGTCTGGCTAGCTAGCTAGTGCAAGTTGGGGTAAATTCAACTCAAATCAAGACATCGTAAATAAAAGGAAATGGGAAATGAAACAGAACCGTTGGGAAGAGTAAAAAAACGCCTCTCGTTACCATCCACAAAATAAATGAGAAAATTTGGGGGAAAAAAAAGGAAAGGAAAATGACGCCGGAACCTCCTATATGTATAGTCTGAGGGAGAAGCGAAAAGCGAAGTGGGAAGAAAAAGGTCGCAGATTGGGTAGTTGGGAAATAAGAAGCGAAGATGAAGATAAAAATAAGGAAAGAAACAAAAAGGGGGATTGAAATGGTGTAAAGAAAAAGTGCGAAAAGACAAGTAAGAAACACGGCAAAAACGCCCACTAGCAAAGTCTTGTACAAACCCGTGCACACTTCGCCAAATTATTTAGCAAGACGAACGGGGGAATCAAACTATTCGAACACAAGAAGCGAATGACATGATGCGAGCAATGCAAGAAGATGAACGAGGAATTGAAGTTGGAAGTAGAAGTAGATCAAGGCTCTAACAACATCTGGTATCACTGAAAAAGGGGGTAGTCGAATAGATGTGGAAAAGAAGGGGGTTATTGGTAGATTGCTTAGATAGTGGGAAGGTTCGTAATGCATGTGCAGTCAGTATACATGAATGCCATGATGGTCGATGATGATAGACACAGAATTGACTGCGTTATCCTCAAAACGTCACATGGACGGTTGTTGAGAAAGTCAACTCTTCATCTCAGAATAAATCAACGCGAACGGACGCTGTCGCTAATGCAATATCGTATAATGGTAACCTGCACTTTTAGAGCATATCGCTGAGCCGATGATGAAAATGGTGATGAGGCCTATGTGAGTCGTTGATTCACGGTACGTTGTTCCGACGGCGTCGTCCACGCGTACTACCTTCTGGCCTTTGCGATAGGACCTGCCTGAGAGCCGGATCATCTCGGCTCTTGTCGACATGGTGGACCCTGACGTGTCTGTTTCGTGACTTGTGAGCTGGCTTGAAAGACATTCGATGCGATCGAGTAGAGGCTTACCGTTGCAGATTGTCCGGTCGAGGGTATTTGTGCTGTTGGTCTGGACAGAAGGGGCATACATATCCAGGCGAATTATGGACAAGGCCATGCCGAATCATCTCGTTCTTCCGTTTGAATCCTTTCCCGCCGGGTCCACGCGGACAGCCAGCTATGGGGCAGAAATGCGGGCGATCCTGAGAATGAACATTTGCATGGGAGCTGTACATGCGATGAGCTTGGGTTACCGGACCGGTGGACGTGAAACTGCTTACTTCAACAGGTATTGTGTTTGGAACGGGGCTGCGGTGCAGCCAGGGTGACGGCACTTGTATGTGCCTGTGGAGACCGCTCCGTTCGAGTGTGTGGGGGGATTGTATGACCGATCACAGGTTGATGCTGGAGTTTGATCTGTCGGGGTGGGATAGCTTGTTGCGGGGCTCTTGGCCGTCTGCGGCGCAGTCTCATATGTTGAAGTGAGATACGTTATGTCCGCCTTGATAGGCGGCCGCCAGTAAGCCTGCTGGGATGCGGGCGACGACATGGCCGACATGTCCTTCGAGCTCGCTGGTGACAAGTGCGAGTAGGGGCTGGGCGGGACTTGCGGGGGCGGAGGCGGAATCTGGCCTAAGCGTTGGTGCTCCCAGACAGGTTCTGTCCTTGATACCGGGGGAGAAGAAGATGAGACCGGAGGCAAAGGCCCGAAAGACGAGCCATTCAGACGTCCGGCACCAGCAGGTGGTGGTACATCGGTAACACCGGCCAATGCCGTTGAAAGGGAGGGCAGGTTATGATTCACGGAGCTCGCCGTTGCTGACGGGTGGAGGGCGGGGAGCTGAGCTGTTGGCTCCGACGGTGCTATCAGCAACTTGCTCAATCGTTGTTCAGGATCAGGTAGTTTCCCATCCTGGAATAGATGTGAGATATGAGGGATATTGGGCGGCGTATGCTGCTGCTGTTCTTCTTTGAGCGCAGGTTCTTCCACTGGGATGGACGGTCGGCGTGGTTCCTTGTAGGCGGTTGGAGGATCCTTCGGGCCTACAGACGGGCCTCCTTCCTTGGGCTCGCTCGGACTGATCAAATTGAGAGCCTTTCTCGCCACCACATCTACAGGCTCCTTGGTCTCCACGGAGGATTTGTCCGGGGCGAATAGGATCTTGGGAAGGACCGGATAGGGGTCGTCCGCTGGAGTGCTGCGGTGAAGCGGATTTTCAGTTTCGAACCAGGCTATGTCAGGTCGATTAGGCTCTAAATGTCTGATCAGCACCGAGTTGCCCTCGATTGAATCGGGCTTTTGGAATTCCGGCAGCTTACGCGAACTGCTCGGAAACTGTGCCTCTGCATCGTGCTTAGGTAGACCGCCCTTGGGTGATTGATCTCCGGTATCGAATGGAGGCGGTGACACCTTTGGCAGGTAATTGATCGTTGAAGGCTTCAACGCAGGGGTGCGAGGTCCATCGGAATCGTATGATTCTGTCATGAAGGCGGCGGTTTTAGGCGCATCAGGTGCGCCGCCCCTTACTGTTTGATTTGGCCTGCCTGTACCTTTCGAGTGCCCTGAAGAAGTGTTTCAGAACACAGTCTTCAACCCGGAAAATAGACAGCCGCTCAAACGGTTTGCTAAGCAGAATAGGACACAATCCACTTGTCGAATGCAGGTGTGCTGGCACCATGTTAGCATGTACACAGGCTAGAGAAAGCGGTGGCACGACAGAGAAGGACAAAGTTGGATATGAAAAGGGTACAGATGGGATACCCTGTGCAACGCTCACTCGGGAGAAAGAGAGCAGGTCACAGAAGGGGGAATGAGACGCCAGACGAACGTGCAGGGCATGGGAAAATATTCTAGACAATTGTGCAAATAGCCCAGAGGCAGCAAGTAGCATCCTAGATCCGTAAGATCTCAAAGGGGAACCACGAGCTGGACCAATTACGACAATAACCAGGATGCAAGTTTGGCCAAGA